CAAACCAGGGCAAGAAACTTAGTGGTGATTGCTAATCATCTGAGAAAGGGGCCTGGAAGGAGACAGGGAAACACACTTAAAAATTCCTTACTGAGGTAAACATCTCTGTGGTGATGGTGGTGATGGTCTTCAGATCAGGTACATAACAAATACCTGCACCTGACTCCAGCATCTTGCTATTCCATTTCTCTTTCAGCAGAACAGAAGGCAGAACGTGATGAAACTTGTGCTGTTGCAAGTGAATCTCCAGCTCCAGAGGGAACAAACTTAAATAACAGAAACCAAAATAAACATTTTTATCCTTCATTACCCCAACTACCTTCTGAGGAAGAAGAAATAAACAAGCTCGGAAGTCAGATAATTAAACTGACAGTTGCAGAACTGGAAGGGAAAGGAGCAGGCGCTTCCGCAGGGGAGCAGAGCACGGTAGAGGGAGCAGAGCCTAATGGCTCATCAGAGGGAGAGTTCCCACTTTCCAGCCCTGACCCATCCGACCCCACAGATCCCTCAAACTCTGAGAATGAACAGACAGGTGAAACTGAGGCCCTGAAAGACAATGACGAAACCTCGGAAAGCGATTGCGAAATTCCAAATGAAAGGAGGGATCAAAGCAGCAGCACTGTGGATGTGGAACATACTGAAGACCCTGGAAGGCATGAAGGGCTCAGTCTTACAAGTGCAGTCACAAATAACAGCTTTGAGGAGCTCTCTGAATCTGAAAACAAGAAAGCATCTGATGCCGCAGAAAACTGTGAGTATTTGGATAACAGTTTGGCTTGAGGTATGAAATCCAGGCCCTCAAGCATCTCACTGTAATCCCTTTGCAGTGTCTGTGCTGTTGTAAACATGATGGGTGAAACCGTGTGCCACAGGGTTGATTATTTTACATTGAACTGCTAATATTTGCTTTAAAAAAGATGTTTTTCTGTTAGTTTTGGCTGAGTGTCCCGAAAATGTAAATTTCCTGAGGGAAAGAATTAGTAATGAGGTTTAATCATGTTGGTTTTTTTGTAATGATTTGAAGTTTCTGCATAGATTGATGTAATTTACATTAGTGTAGCAAAGAGCCCAATAGTAATGATTTATCATGTTAGCACTAGGCTTCTGTAACATACATGGTCCTAGTGCTGGACTGTATTTTAATGGTTGGGAGTGACTCTCAAAAATGAGAAATCTGGAGTGTTAAATTCAGAAGCATCTTAAGGCTGCAAACTTTTGCTTCTTTCTCAGACTGTGTTCTGTTTCTCTTTGCATATAGTGACTGTAAGTACATCCACAGAATAAGATCACTGTTCCCTTACAAGACATGTCTAAAAACCATCCCTGCATGGATATAGTTCTCTCGTTACAAACCTTTACACCTTTATATTTTGTCAACTGTACAAAATTTTTCCTTCCCTCTCCCAGCTCATCTCATGAAAATGCAGGAAGTTATTTCACCAGATACTGAGAACCCAATTTAATGAACCTCTGAAGGAAACCTCATCACAGAAGCCAGAAGTCATACTGTGAGAAACAGCAATGCTGTTCCAAAGCAAGGAGAACAGCAAGAGGAGAACCAGTGATGCCCTATCCACCTACTTGGCTCTCTCAGTTACTGGAATTGCATTCCTCAGCTTACAGGAGCTGGAGCAGCCCTCGGGCTGAGCTAATGGGTGGTAGATTTCAGCCTACTCCATCTGTGCTCTCCTTTCTAAAGGATTCTGTGTCTTTTTTATTTCCTTATGATTTGGAAATAAGGCTAACTCTTCCTTTCCTCCTCATTTCACCAGTCTCTGGTATGGTAGAAGGATTATTTGCATTGTTGACACTTTTTCAAACTCTTCCCTTTATGATGTTTAGTCATAGAGAAGCATTATAATAACTGGGGAAGAGGGAGGCTGCTGTGTCATTCCCTAACTTGGTCCTGAGGCTGGAGCTGTGCCACTCTGCTCCTAGGAAGGCAGCAACGAGGGAATACTTAACATTGAAGTTAGCAGCTGTTGGAGAAGGGGAGGCAGGCCCTTCCTCTCCTGTTTGTAGCATAAGGAATAGTCTCCACAGCTGTGGAGCTTCTATGGGCCAGCAGCCATCAAGGCAATTTTTCTGCTGGCTTGGGACCTAATTGTCTGTAAATGTTCATTTCTCACTCCTAGAACTTGAAACCAATCAGAGAGAATTAAACCAAATTTAATAAAATACTACTAATAAAAAGGAAAATCCCTCCCAGATTGAGTACTTCTTTGACAAATAACTGCCAGCTGCAAATTTTTACAGCCCACTTGTCAGCTACTGAATAAAGAGAGTTTATATTAGCAGTACTGACAAACTCTTCTGTATGTGGAAGATGAGCTAGCAGGTGCTGCTATAATCAAGGTGTCAGAGTCCATGAACAGTTTGTATTCAGCAGAAGAAAGGCTGTATGTAAATTCTTACGTATAAAGATAAGGAGTGATAGTGAGAAGGTGAAAAATGTGACTTGTTTCTGTTCTCATGTGTTTTCCCTAGCAGGTGCATTCGTGTAACCCTTTCAGTGTCCCTCTGCAGGATATAAAGCCATACTCACAGTGCTCCTCAAATATGTTTACTTCCTCTTTAAAGGTAATTGGACATTGCAGCATTCCACTGATACTAAGAAGCAGCCCTTAGGAACAAAAGCTGTCTGTATACTTAAGCCTATTAGGAGCATGAGGCAGCAAAAAGTTTTAATTTTATTATCCTGATCACCATTTAAGTTCCTCATTACCTGAAAAAAACAAGAAGAGTGTAAATATTTGGAAAATTTTTGGGTTGTTTGCAGTAATTGTAACTGACTGCATTATTGACTCATTTGTGTGACAGTTGGAGGAGAAATTGCTGTAGAAACTGAAATCTCCAGGAGAATGTGGCAGGTTTTTTTCCTTTAATGCCTGAATGTCACATATGAAGTAGCAGTTTACTCAAGATGTATTCTTTTCCATCTTTCAAAGACTAATCCCCCTCAGAGCTAAACATCAGTGCAGTCAGAACTGAGACAAGCAAATAAGAAGGTCAAGATTTCATGTAGTTCAACTTAGAAATGTTGAGGGTTTTTTACTGTTTCCCTGCCCTGTGTCTTCCTGACCCACAGATGTGTGAATGAGCATTTTGCTCCTGCTCCCAGTTAATGCTGTTAGTTATGAAGAGCTTGGTTCAAAAACTCAAGCAGGTAGAAGCAGCGCTGGACCAACAGTTTCTTAGTGCCTCATTTGCAGATTTTCAGTACCTCTTTCCTGTGAGAACCCAACAATTAGGATATCTTGGTAATTGTCCTCACACCATTCTCCCTCTCCGATGCCATAGTGATCTTTGCAATCACTAAATTCCAGTAAGATACCAAGAAACCTCATTTTCAGTGCGATGTCACTGCTGCAGTGCTGCCTCTCTCTCTTCTGCCCTAGCGAATGTGTATTCTGTAGCTCCATTTTTAGCCTTCTCCCAGGAGCACAAGGCTCCAAAGCCAGGAGACTTGTAAAAGTAAGACAGCTTTGCTGCACTAGGTGATAAGTAATTAAATATTTGTGTAAGTATCTTCCTCGGATATTGCTTTAATTGAGATCATTGTGCTGTTAGAACAATGATTCCCCTCCCCCCACGCAGTAAATTTAATTAGTGTTTTGTTGTGAAATCAACAGTACTTTAGGTTTGGGGGGGAGTGGTTTTGGTTTTGTCTTTAGTTTTGTGTTCCCTTTTTCTAGCACTTTTGCAATGCAGAAATCACAGCCAGACATAAAAGCCTTTTTGGTGGTTGGGCTTTGGGGAAGCAAACTGGGGAGGGAATGTTGTGGCTGGAGTATGGAGAAGATGCATTTCACAAACTGATTTTAAGGAGGTTTTCTCCCCTAAACGTGAATTTATGCATTATCTGTGACGATGATTTCATTTGTAAGTACAGTGTTGTCGTTACTGGAAAAACAACGTTCCCTGAGTTTGTAAAATAAGTGTGTGAAAATGACAGATTAAGAAGCATCTTTTAGAATGCTGCTTCTTTTCTAAGTGAGACTATTTTTAAGCATATGGGAATTTGTATAATAAAGACACTGGAATTTCTTTAATCCTTATGAGCTCAGGAATGTATTTCAAAATCTTAACTGCGATTAAGTTGAAAGCCTGCTACATTTCTAAAAGATAGCATTTTGTTTACCAGTTTCTGTTTTGTAGTTTGCTTTCTAAATTATGCAGTTTAATTTATTTGCAAACCTCTCTTTTGTTGCTGCCTGGATTAACTGCACAACATGGGTAAACTACATTAATACATTTTGTCATCTTTAATAAAAACATTTCCTGATATGCTTGTTCTACCTGCTTGTTTCCTTTTCTCTTCTCAGTATCAGATGAATGATAGCCATGGGGTGGTATTTTAGTATGTTCATTCAGTTGTATTAAATTAAAAAAGTAAAGCTTTATTGGGTGAGAGTTTTAAGTCTGAAAATTATCTGACTTAAATCTTTTCACTGTCACTTCTCTCAGCCTAAACTGATTGATTTAACTCCTACATTTTTGTATGAAGTGACACACTCAGTGTTTTCTGCCTTTGAAAGTAATATTTCTCTCTGATCTGCTGAATTTATCAGCATTGTCTAAGCAGCATTAAAACTTTTGTACAGAACTTAGCTACTGACAGGAACAAACTAGAGGCTTATGGAAGTAGAATAACATAATGGATCTAAAGTTTACCACAGAAATGTCTGTACTTTCCCTTATTTCCAGGGGAAGTCCATTAGTGAGGTCATGCAATACAACACCCAACACTATTAAAAGCATAGAGACCTTTTTTTTTCCTTTCAGGTTTGCAGCTAAATACAGAACAGTGTCTAATGAGAGGCAGATTTTTACTTATTTTTTCCTTCAGTGTCTAATTTATGATCCCTTAAGAGCCCCTTACAGCACACAGACTATTTAGTCTATTGACCATATCCATCAGAACTCTTACTTACATGCATTCAACTCCCAAACTGCATAAATGGGAATCTTTGCCTTCAAGAAAACATACCACAGTGTTCAGTTGATGCTGGTTTTATTGATGGGCTTACAGAAAGGAGGTTCTACAAAGTGATAAGCATTTCATAGAGGAGCAAGCAAATGGAACTGGGAATCCTTCAGCCACATACTTTAGTGGCCAGTGGCACAGCCTGAGTTACTCTGTGCTGCCCAGACTGCACCCAGCTCTTTGGTCTTCACTTCTGCATGGACCTATGTTCGTTTGTTGAGCCCTCTCTTCTTCTTTTCTGAGACCTCAGACAGTTTCTCTTCCCACAAGTTCTTGTTGCATATCCCAATCACACAGCAAGCCAGACGTTTCCCAGCATTTCCATTTTCCAAACTGGCCTTGTTATTGCCCTTGCCCATGTCGTCTTCCTGCTCGTGGATCACAATGGATCTGCCCATGATGGAGTATGGACCAAAGACAGTGGCAAAGAGATTTGTTTTGTATTTTCTGATTTTGCCTTCTTTAGGAAGAAAGTTGCCAAAATCCCCTGGGTGCCGGGGGTGGTTCACTCGGAAAGGGTTGTAGTGTCCTCCTGTTGAGTCACAGCCATTGCTGAGGTCTCCGAGCTCGTGGATGTGAATAGCTCTACTAGACTGATTGGTATCCAAAGGAAACCCATCCAAGTAAAAAATGGCTTCCAATCTTCCACGTGAGTAATACTGCCTGAATAGGACTTGTCCAGTCACTTGTGGCTTGTCAGCATCTATTTTGGAGCTGGGCTTCATTTCACAAGTGGCATAAACCATCCCATCAGTCTCGTTGCCACGTGTCACCGGATAGAGCAAATTCTGCCAGAGGTCGTTCACTTGTTTTTGTATTTCATGCAGTGACTCTAGTCGTGGATCAGTTTCTTTGTCTGCCATGTCACCAGAGGCAGACAGGATGAGCCCAGTGACCAGAGAAAGAATCAGAAGCATCTTGGCAATTCGAAGCCTGCAAAAGGTACAGGAAGGTACAAAGAATTCAGGGCGTTTTGCAGCAGTGTGGCTGGAGAGAAAGGCACACAGCCAGTGGGGAGCTGAGTGAAACAGCTGGAACATTGTCCCACTGGACTGCTGCTTGCTGAATCTGTCTAATGTGATGAACTGGAACTGAATCAGAATGCATATGTGTGTTTTAAACATGTACAACTGACACCCATGGCTAAAAGAAATGCTAGCAATTTTATATTCTACGTTAGATCTTGATCTTAAAACCTGCCTCTTTTTCCCTGCAGGAAGCAAACAAGCCAAAATGTTCTTAAATCTGTTTCTGAGTTTGTATTGAAACTTTTCTCCTCCTACAAATTCCAGCAAGACAGTTTGCCAGTAGTCTTTTTTTTTCCTTGGTCCACCTACTTAATCCCTAGTTAGGCATTGCAAACAAAAAAGTAAAAACCCAACAAGTTGATTACCTTGCAGAACCTCTCAGTAGTAGCTCTTCACCTCTGCTCCCCTAAACCGAGATGTGACCAGACAGAAAGCCAGAGCTGCTTGAATGTGATGCTTATGGGAACTGCGTGTTTCTCTAGAAATTAGGTAACGCTGGCTCAGGGGAGGCGTCACCAGGAGAGCCGTGGGAGGGGAGGGAGGCAGGGAAGGAGGAAGGGAGGGGAAAAAGTTCTAGGCATTTTTGTTTTGGGCAGGGTGAACACTTTATCTTTGCTTGATGAGTTTGTTAGTCTGGCTCTCGGTCCTCTCTGACATTTCAAAACAAAGAAAGGGAAAAGTCCATGAAGCTTTGAAATTAATCTGCCTTTTGGTGACTTCATATCTAAAACAAGTGAACTTTGGCATGCAGGGAGGGGAGAGGAAGGAGTTTTATGAAGGCACAGTTGGGCAGTTAGCTCACTTCTGTGCTGATTGCCATGGAGCTGCTTTGCATTTTTATCTCATTTGTCAAAACTGAAAGTGAGCAACATAAACTGTTCCACATGGATGTAGACCAAAGTTTCTGTGGCTTTAAAACCTAAGTTTAGACTATAGATGTTGAGGTACATGTCAGCAATGCTTCTCTGACAGGTTTTAGGGCTGGTTAGTGTCTGCTGCTTTACTCACCAAGTTTTCTGCTCCACTGAAGCCTTTTTTCTTCTTCCTTGTTTTTTTTTTTTGGAGACAGCAGTGATTTCTTTCCAAAGAGGGAAGTAGCCAGTACTGAGGCAGTGCAACATCAGACTGAGGCGCAGAGAAATTGCTCTGAAGGTGGCTGGAGCACAGAGAGTTCACATGTGTTTCATCATCCCATGAACTGAGAAATGCTCTCCTCCCGGGGGCATTGCCCTGCCTGCAGCACTTCCCACTGTTGTAGATGAAATGTGGATTCTGCTGTCACAAGAGCAATTTAACAGGCTGATATTTCTGTAGAGAGAAAAGAGTAGCTCTTATTACTCTGGAACAATTCTCAACATGAGAAAATTGCAAAGAAAATCCTTTTTCCTAGTTCATGTCTCCTGCCAGCTGGGTAAGGAATGGATGGGACTGTCAGCTCCTGGAATGGTAAAACTGTGTGTGTTAATCTTACTGATATCATATACCACATCAGATCCAAGATACTCTGTTATCTGAGAGACCATTTTTTTCTCTTTCTGTATGAGAGGGAGTAGAGCTAAAGGAATGTCAGCTACTTGGATCATTAGCAAGGGACTGGAAATACAGTGTTAGCTTCAGCTTGGAATGTTGGGGTATTATAGAATCACAGAATATTCTGAGTTGGAAGGGAACCACTAGAATCATAAAAATCCAACCCCTGGTTCTGCACAGGACAGCCCCAAGGAACATTGAACGTGGTACTTTCACCCTGGGTTTCAGTTCCTATTCCATGAACTAGGACAACTGGTATTTCTTTTCTTCAGGCTATTTATGAGTTGTTTGGATTACTGTGCTCCTGGGCACCATGCAGTGTTTGGTGGAAGCTGAACTCTCAGGCTGAGTGCCAGGATTTCCCATCACCACAAGACTAATGCTGCCTCTGTTGCAGCTTTTCCCAAGTTCATTCACTGGCAGTCTCTGAGCTGGGGAAATCCATACTTGTGACATGGTAATAGTATGAAATTTCTTGGGTTTAGAGCATTTCAAAGTTTTATAATTGGGTTTTATAAATAGATGCAAAGCACATTCAGCTAAGACTAGCCTAAGGCAAAGGAGGATGGTTCAAATGCAGGAAGCAAACGTCCAGCCCAGGTACTATTACAAAAACTATTTCTTAGAGGCATAAACCATTTTTTAAGGGGAGACAATAAATGGAAGGATGAAAGGAGCATTGTGCATTGTTTACTCCTTGAATCACAAAGTAGTGAACTGCAACTCAGTTTAACACTTCTGCAAGGAAATTTCTGAGCCAGCAGTCAACATTCCAAGAGACTTGAAAAGCTTTAGTTGAATTATAAGGCATTTTGAAATAAGAACTAGGGTCAGAATTTTAGCTGGCTTAAATACAGTAATGGTGCTGACTTCAGTGGTGTTTGTGCTGTTTTACACCAGCTGGGATTCTGTCCCTGGAAAAACCCACTTGCTGCAAAGCTCTTTTTTTGATGTACTGCGCACGTGGGAGTGAAGCAGAAATGCATAAGGTGTAAAGTAGATGATCAGAGGGACAGAAATGACTGCAGCAAAGCTAAATGATGTATTTGTAGCTCTCTGCACTTCAGAGAATGAAAAGGAAATAGTAGCTGTGGGCTGCTGTCAGAAAGATGTATTTTGAAAAGGAGAAGGGCTGATAACTACAAGAAATACAATTGCCAGGTGATTTGGCATTCAGTCTGGGTCTGAAAGATGGTCGCTAAGTACTAACCAGTGTCATTAAAGTCTGTTGTTACCCACTGTCTATGTTTTAATTTTCTGTTACAAAGAGGTGAGAATAATGGGCTTAACAGCCTTTAAAGCAGGCAGCAGCTACTGGGAAGAAAGCCCACAGTGACCTGACCATGCACTTGTGTTACAATCCCTGCTTAAAAGAATAGACCTCTGCTTTTGTTCCAGTTCTACAGGATCTTTTGTATCCTGAGTTTCAAGCAATGTCCTAAAGTTTCCTGGGCTATACAAGACAGAGACATCAAAACAACTTCTGCAAGGCTCTCTAGATCACATAGGAAAAAATTTGCTTTACTCGTGGGCTTTACAGAGAACTTTATACCAGACTCTGCTCACAAGCTCTCAATCCATGCTATGATCTTCAGGGTTGTTTGGTTGGTGGCTCTGTTTTGAAGTGGCATCTTCTTATTGCATTACCTTGCTGTTCAACTTAACAGTGATTGTGCAGCACAGAGCTAAACCCAATGAAGAAAATGCTGCCTAGGAGAGCATCCTGTTGTAGCAAGCTGTAGCCTTTTTGGTGTCTCCAGCACTCAGATCTGTTCTCAGTGGTTTTTTGATAGAATGATTCTCCATAAGTAGGACATCCAGAGAAGGCAGGTTTTATGTCTTCAGCAGAGGGTGATGGAGCTGACTGCTTTTCTCCACATATGGCTGAGGCTGGAGCTGCTAATCAAAGGGGATACTTCTAGCTTGAGGGAAGTAGAGCCAAGACCTTTAGGCACCTGATCTGCTCTTTCAGTTCTGGACACTTTCTGCCATTCCTGAATCAAGGGCCCAGTTGTGCTGGTGGGTCATCAAGCAGCCACAGGTGCATCTGGCATTTCATAGAATGATAGAATTTTAGGGGTTGGAATGGACCTTACAGATCATCCAGTCCCAACCCCCTGCCCTGGGCAGGGACATCTCCCCACTAGACCAGGTTGCTCAAGGCCTCATCCAGCCTGGCCTTGAACACTGCCAGGGCTGGGGCAGCACCACCTCCCTGGGCAACCTGTGCCAGTGTCTCACCAATTTGTTGGTGTGTGGAGTTAGAGACTGCAGGGCACCAAAACTTGCATGCATTGAGTTTGGCGTGGTGTCAATGTGCTCCGTGCACCAGACCCATGGGATGTGTGGCATGTCCTGGTACCTGCCTGAGGGTCTGCAGGCAAAGCCTGCAGAGTTGGTTTTAGTCTGCAGCACAATGAGCTGTGCTGCTGAGTTAGGCAGGATTTAGAAAGCAGCAGTGCTGTCAAGGTGTCCGTGAAGGTGCAATGGCTTTGGCTATTTACTGCCTGTCGTGTTGTCTGACACAGCCTGTTAATGTCCCGTGGAGCTCTGGTGCTCACGAGCAAAGACTCTTTTCTAGGCAGTTTTAGCCTGTGTGGTGAGCACAGGGCTGGTGCAGGACTGGGAGCAGCACCACATCCCACAGAAATTGCAGTGGAGGAACTTGTTTGCAATTGCAAAGAAAAGAAAATGAAAAATTTTGCTGTAGCAAATGGAAAATCTGTGCTGGTCTTGGCTTGCTCTCCCTGTTTATTCCTGTTTCTTGACTTGGTATTTCTATTTAAAGAAATAAAGATATTTAGTGCCGAGATAAGTATCCATTTATAATATTCTTGCAAAAGAGCTATAAGCATTTCCAACTTTTCAGGGCATTACCCATAAAAAAAAATCAAGTTAAATAAATATACAAAAGGGAAACAACACTCTTCTCTCGGGGGAATAATTTCTCTTGAAAATAGAAGCTCATGCAACTGTCAAACTACTCTGCATCAGCCAATTTGAAAAATTCTTTAAATTCTTCCTCTTTAATAGCTTGAGAAGAAAATCATTTTATGAGAGTGAAGGAGAGATGATCTGTAAGCTTTTAGAAAAAGCTGCATTCAGAAACTCATTCTAAGTCTGTCAACCAAATTTAGCAGAACTTCATCTTCACATGTGAATATAAAATATAAATGTGCAGTGCAAAAAGTAGGGATGGAACCCAGCTATTAGATAATTGAGGTTATTATTTGTGTTTATTTCCTGATCCTTTATAAAATGTTTATCCTTTCCACTGTGTAGCATTAATCTGATGAGGGGTTTGCTGTTTGAGAGGAGACAAGAAATAAACACAACTCTCCTCAAGTTCAGTGTCCAATGGCCATAAATGGAAACATCTTGATTTTTTTGTAGTTTCAATTTGCACATTGCACACATTGTGCAGATTTGCACAGCATTGTGTGTGGCCTCAAGTAGCAGCTCAGGAGCTACAGGAAGGCTGGGCCAGTAGGTCAGATATATGAGCAGTGGTTACCTACAAATAACTAAACACAAATCAATCTCTCTTTTTATGACACTTAACAGCAGCTGTCTCAGAAGTCTAATGATCATTACGGATGAGCCAAGAATGATTTTCAGGTATTTCTATCCTTGCAGTGTATTAAAGAGACACAAATACTGATAAGAGGGCAAGCTCTACCTTTTGTTTCTGTGTGCTGTCATGCTTCCTGTTGTCCCTCCTGGGGCAGAAGTTGGGTTTCTGGGTCTGACAGCTGCCACTTTCTTCTTGGGAGTGGTGAACTTGAGGCCTCCTACTTGAGTAGGAGGCAGCAGGACTTTCCTGGACCACAAAGGGGAAGCTTGGCCCCTTCCTACAGGAACAAGCCCAATCCTGGCTCAGGCTCATCCCTGTTCTCAGGAGAGTGTCAGCAAGGTGAGAGAGAGCAGGTAAGTGCACTGCATGAAGCAGGGGTGGATGGATGCAGGC